TTTCAAAGGCTGGTGTGGGGCGGGGGTGGGGGGGGGGGGGGGGGGGTGGGTGGGGAGTGGGGTGGGGTGGGGTGGCTATAGCAATGACAGCACAGAGCATTCAGTCTTTTATTATTCTTGTGCAATAGCCTGACTTTGGTCAAGGGAGAGGAAATCCTTAGGCTTAATTGAAGACAATCAGCCCAGGGTCAGGAGGGTAATGCGGAACAGACTGGAGGTAAAGGCAGCGTGGAAATAAGGATGAAGGGAAGACCACAGTAGATTCAAAGATCAGACTCAAAGATGGAAACTGAATGCACCTGCATGGTAAAGTATATTTAAACCTTAAAATATACAGAGCCCCAGGGAGGTGTAAAAATAAACCAAGCTTATTTAGTTTACTGCCTTTCTGCTCCTCGGGTGGCTTGTCCAGCTGTTACCCAGTTTGGGCAGGCTGGTTTGTATACCTGATTTTTTAGGAGTTTATCACAGGGTTCCTGGGAGAGCAGCTGCTGGTAAAAGGGCCCTCAATGCCTTCATTATCCACAAGCTCCAAGCTTCACAGCTCTTGATATTAAACTGCTTTGATTGGAGATTATACGTTGTTTCATTTAAATTTTAAATGGATCACTGTAATGTGCTTTTAGGTAATTTGTAACATGCCTCTGGGCATAGCACCATTTTTATTTTGGTCTCTAAATTACACAGAAGAGCGGGAATGCCCCAGATTAAAAGGAGTAACTGGCCCATGCAGGATCCTCTTTCAGCTAGCTGCCTTCCCTCCTGCAGTCCCAGGCATGGCTAATAAAATATATCAAAGCCAAGGAGTATTCAAAGTGGATCTCCTTTGCCACAGTCATTGAGCATTGCTATTAAGTTTTCCCTGAAAGGTGGTTGTTATTAATACCTTTTTATGGATAAAGGAATCATAGAGTGTTTGAACATGATGCATGAATTCTTATGAACTAGCACAGTGTTTGGAAAGTCATACATAGCATACAGGACAGGCTTGACTCTGTTAAGAAAATGGGATTCATTGACGACTGTTGCTCTGAGTAAGGTAGTTGGTCTTTTTATGACTCAGTTGTCACATCTGAAAATGTACAGTGATAAGGGACAAGTTAATAGATTTAGAGAGTATGTAACAGTGCTGGTGTAGCCATGGTTGAAGTGACCCTCTACACCACAGTCTCTTGCTTTACACTCTGAGTATAATTATGTTTGTGAATTCAGATTATTCTTCAGGTTTTATGAGGATGCTATGAATGAAGCACTTATTTCATATAACAGGTACAGTAGGGTCTGGGGTGCCTAAAAATCAAATTCTTCCCTAGCTCAGCTCAGCATTCTCCAAAGAAGAGTGGAAAACCTGGCTGCAGGAATAGGCTTGTATCAGCTCAAGATAGATTAAGGCCCCAAGTCCTTACAAAACCTTCTAAGTTTCAGTGTTTGGGGTTTCAAAATTATAAGTAAGGGATTCTAGTTCTGAAATATTATTGAATGGAGGTAAGTAATTGGAACCAAGAAATATCCAAGATCCAGGCTAGAATTTTCATCAGTAATTCTTCCTTTTGTAGTTTTGCAGGAAGAAAAAATGAAAAATTGTGTGGCCATACTGACTTCACACAGCTGCTCAATAAGAGATGAGCTTCTTGACCTAGTTTGGTATAGACAAATGGTTTATACTGAGCACAGATGTTTGTAAGCATTTTCTTCAAACACTGTTTTCATGGAGAATCATGGTTGATGAACAACAAGCAAAACAAAGAGCCTTTTTTTTTAAAAAAAAATTTCTATTTTGTTTCAATATATTTTAAAAATAGTACTTTATTATATATATATATATATATATATATATACATATATATATATCAATGGGCTATCCTTCAGTGAATGTATACATTAAATAACGTATGAACTAACCTAAACACAGGTAACTTCTAAAACATTTTTCTTTGTGGAAAGAAATCTTCAAAGTCTTTTCTTCTAGCTTTGTGAAACACATAGGTCATTAATGTCACCTGTGGACATCCTACTGTCACTTCACAACTTCTTGCTCTTATTTAACTGTAATTAACCCCTCCCCCTCTTTTGGCTTTTTGAGACAGGATTTCTCTGTGTTGCCCTGGCTGTCCCGAAACTCGCACTGTAGACCAGGCTGGCCTTGAACTCAGAGGTTTGTCTGCCTCTGTTTCCTGAGTGCTGGGATTAAAGTTATGTGTCACCAATCCCTAGCTAATTAACACCTTTTTGTCAACCTCTTCTGGTCTCACCTGCTATTTTCCCCAGCTCTGTAAGCACCATTCTACTCTCTATTTCCAGGAGTTCAAGTGTTTTAGCTCCCACAAACAAGGGGGATCATGTGGTGTCTATCTTTCTGTGCTTGGCTTATTTCACATTATTAAGAGTTTCTTTTACCATCCTCCATGTTGTTTCAAATGACCTGTTGTTTAATGTCTTCATGGATTTCACTTTAAAATGAACATTAATCTGTTATACAAAAGACAGACACAGGCCAGTGAGATGGCTCAGTGGGTAAAGGGACGTACTGCACATTCTGATGACCTGAGTTCAATCTAGGAACCATGTGAAGGTGAAAGGCAGGAGTTTACTCCACCAAGTTGTCCTGTGACTTGCACACACATACTGTGGCACTTGTGCCCCCCCCCAGAGCATGTGCTCACACATACAGTACTAACAAAAATGAAAATTAAAACCAACCAACCAAAACCAGACAAGTTACATGCCTTTCTTGAACATATTTTGACTTCATTTTGAGAACATTTTACAGGGTGCTGGGATGTTCTCTTTCACATTATCCCATGAGGACCACCACAGTGATGATCTCACTGGATGGCTACAGGGAGCATAGTGATTTCCACTATTCCACTTTAACTCAAGAAGTGGTTATCTCTCTCAATTCCCATGTCTATCTGGGAGTATTACACCAGGACCGCTGCGCGTTAACTTCTTGATGAAGAGTAACCTGATTAAAAATACACTGAAGGCATCCATGAATCTCGAAGAACCATTTTCAAGAATGTAGAGTTATGTCTATTTATGGAAGACATCACTTGATAATCCATGCCCTTTTTTTGACCAGCAGTATGGTCCATAAGGTAAATGAAAAAGAAGTGAGGAAGTGAACCCATGAAAAATTGATCTCATCTGGTCCTCTGTTCCATGATTCCTCTAGAGGTTAAATAAGTTTCTCTAGTAGAGTGACACTGGGTATATCAACCACTCCAGGACAGGCATCATGCTCAGGAGTAGTTAATCAACATATGATGGACTCCACAGGTGTTGTTTATTTTTATTTTTTGCTTTTCAAATGTTTTAATTTGCTTTCTTGGTTTTGGGAGGTTGTTTTGTTGTTTTGGGGTTTTGTTTGTCTTTTGAAGAAGAACCAAAAGTTTGGTGGGGGGTGGGGGGGAGAGAAGATCTGGGGAAGGGGAACAACATGATCAAAATATATTCAAATGTAAAAATTGTTTTAATTAATGAAAATAAAAAAACCCTTGTATACTGAAGCACGATCCTAATTAGGTTTAGCAATAAAAATGGAGTCAGATATTAGGGTAAAAGCTGGAAGATCAGAGAAGCAGAGCAGCAACCACTTAAGCGTCTTACCTTTATGAATCCTCATATCAAATGGGGGGAGACCCTGTCTCTATGAATCCTCAGACTGAGTGGGGAGCCTAGATCCTGTCTCCACCTGCCTTATTTTCCTGTCCTCACCTCTCTAGTGCTGGGATTCAAGGCATGAACCTCCTAGGTCCTAGGATTAAAGGCGTGAGCCACCACCACTGGGCTCTGTTTCTCTCTTAGACTGGTTCAATATCATATAGCCCAGGGTGGACTTGAACTCCTGATCTTCTGGCTTCCTCCTCCCAAATGCTGGGATTAAAGGTGTGTGCCACCACTGCCTGGCCTCTATGGTTAACTAGTGGTTAGCTCTGCCCTCTGATTTCCAGGCAAGCTTTATTTGTCAGAACACAAACAAAATATCATACAACAGTATACTTTGTTGGGAGAGAGAGAGAGAGAGAGAGAGAGAGAGAGAGAGAGAGAGAGAGAGAGAGAGAAGAAGAAGAAGAAGAAGAAGAAGAAGAAGAAGAAGAAGAAGAAGAAGAAGAAGAAGAAAGAGAGAGAGAGAGAGAGAGA